ATCAGAAATGAGAAAGTAGACGTTACAGCTGATACCACAAAAAAATCATCAGAGACTACTATGAACATCTGTGTACTGACAACCGAGAATTTAGAGGAAATGTATACATTCCTGGAAACATTCAACTTCTTGAGATTCAACCAGGAAGAAATAGAAATTCCAAAAAGATCAATAACAAGTATTGGAACTGAATCAGTAATTAAAAAAAAAATCCTCCCAACAAAAATAGCTCAGTACCAGACAGATTGACAGCTGAATTCTACCAGAGGCACAGGGGAGAACTGGTACAAATCCTACTGAAACTGTTCCCAAAAATCAGAGGCAACAATCCTCCCTAACTCATTCTTTGAAGCCAGTATTATCCTGAAAACCAAAGCCAAACAAGCACACAAGGAGAAAAGAAAACTATAGACCAATATCTATGATAAACCTAGATTCAAAAGTCTCAACAAAATACTAGCAAACTGAATATAACAGCACTTCAGAAAAATAATACATCACGATCAAGTGGGTTTTATTCCAGGGTTGCAAGGATGGTTCAGTGTATGCAAATCAATCAATGCGATTCACCATTTAAACAATTAAAAACAAAAAATGTATGACCATCTCAGGAGATACAGAAAAAGCATTTGATGAAATTCAACATCCCTTAATGAAAAAAACACTCAAAAAATTATTAGAAGTGACATACCCCAGAATAATAAAAGGCATATATGACACAACCACAGCCAGCATCATACCTAACAGGGAAAAGTTGAAAGCATTTCCCCTAAGAAGTGGAACAAGACAATGATGCCCACTTTTTCATCTCTCCTATTCAACATAGTACTGGAAGTTCTAGCTAGAGCAGTCAGGCAAGAGAAGGAAAAGGCATCCAGATCAGAAAAGAGAAAGTCAACGTGTCTGTGTGTGCTGATGATATGATCTTACACTTAGAAAACTCTGAAGATTCCTCCAAAAGTCTCTTAGATATGATACATGAATTCAGTAGTTTCAGGATACAGAGTCATTGTACAAGAATCAGTAACATTTCTACACATCAATAATGATTAAGCTGAGAATCAAATCAAGAACTCAATCCCATTTATAATTGCTAAAAAAAAACCCCACTAGAAATACATTTAACTAAGGAGGTGAAAAATCTCTACAAGGAAAACTATAAAACACTGATGAAAGAAATTGTAGATGGCACAAACAAATGGGAAAACATCTCATGCTCATGGATTGGAAAAATCAATATCATTAAAATGATTATGTTGCCGAAAACAATCTACAGATTCAATGCAATTCCTATCAAAAGCCAACATCATTTTTTACGGAATTAGAAAAAAGTCCTAAACTTCAAGTGGTTCCCCCCAAAAAGTCTTAATAGCCAAACCAATCTTAAGGAAAATGAACAAAGCTAGAGGCATCACATTACCTGACTTCAGATTATAGTGGAGGGCTATAGTAATCAAAACAGCTAGTGCTGATATAAAAATAGTCACACAGATCAATGGAACAGAATAAAAAACTCAGAGTCAAAGCTACATACTTAAAACCAACTGATCTTTGACACAGTTGACAAAAACATACACTGGGGAAAGGACAGTCTGTTCAGTAAATGGTTCTGGGAAAACTGGACAGCCATGTGCAGAAGAATGAACCTGGACCCCTGTCTCTCACCACATTTTAAAAATAACTCAGGTTGGATTAACGACTTGAATGTAAGGCCGCCTGAAACTATAAAATTCCCAGAAGAAAACCCAGGAAAAACTCTCGGATCTTTGCCTAGGCAAAGAATTCATGACTAAGACTTCAAAAGCAAATGCAACAAAAATAAAAATAGACAAATGGACTTAACTTAAAAACTTCTGCACAGCAAAATATATAGTCAGCAAAGTGAACAGACAACATACAAAATGGCCACAAGTGTTTTTAAACTATACATCCAACAAAGGATTGATATCCAGAATCTACAAAGAACGCAGACAACTCAACAAGAAAAACCACAATCCCATTAAAAAGTGAGCAAAGGACATGAACAAACATTTCTCTAAAGAAGACACAAATGGCCAAGAATCTCCTAAACATGCTACACATCACTAATCATCAGAGAAATACAAATCATTATAAAACCACAATGAGATACCGTCTTATACCAGTCAAAAATGGCAATTATTAAAAAGTCAAAAAACAACAGATGTTGGCAAAGTTGCAGACAAAAAGAGAACGCTTATACACTGTTGGTGGGAATGTAAATTAGAATGACCTTTATGGAAAATAGTATGGAAATTAATCAAAGAACTAAAAGTAGAACTACCATTTGACCCAGCAATTCTCACTACTGGGTGTCTACACAAAGTAAAAGAAATCTCTGTATCAAAAAGATAACTGCACTTATTTGTTTATTGTGGCACTATTCACAGTAGCAAAGATATGGAATAAACATAACTGTCCACCAACGGATGACTAGGTAAAGAACACACACACACACACACACACACACGTATATCATGGAATACCACTCAGCCATAAGACAGAATGAAATCCTGTGTTTTGGAGTAATATTGATGGAACTTGAGGACATTATCTTGAGTGAAATAACTTAGTCAAACACCACATATTCTCACTTATAAGTGGGAACTAAATAATACATATACATGGACACAGAGACTGGAATAATAAATATTGGAGCTTCAGAAAGGTGAGAGGGTGGGAGGGCAGTGAGGGATGAGAAATGAGAAATTCCCTAATGGGTACAATGTACAGTATTCCAGTGCTGGTTACACTAAAAGCACAGACCTCACCACTGTGCATTATCCATGTAATACAACTGCACTTGTTCCTCCTGAGTCTGTATAAAACAAACAAAGAAAGAGGCACCCTCTTAAAGCACAGGGTCTTGCCAACTCTAACAATGGGGTTTCTTGATGTTTTTTAAAATAAAAAGACCATTAGTTCATAGGTATGAGAGACTGGTCATAAATTAGAACCAAGTAAGGATGGATTGAAATACCCAGAGGAGGAATTCATCTTCACAGTTTATGGAACAAATATGGAACAAATATTTACTGAGCTCCCGCTATGTTCGAGGCATCATTGTTAGCCTGCAGTGACAAACCCTTGACCTCAAGGAGCCTCTATTCTAGTGGGAGGAAAAGGATAAAACTCAACAGATGACAGTACCTAGTATCATACATCACAGCGCTGTGAACAGAAGTGAGGCTGAGTGTGGGAGACAGAGAGAGGCGGAGAGTGCTGTTTTAGGTAAAGGTGTCAGAAGAGGCTTCACTAAGGGTGGTGTTTCATCAGAGATGTGAATGAAGTGAGGGAAGGAGCCATGTATGTATTGGGGGAAGCACATCTCAGGCAGAGAGGACTTGTAGTTTCAGGAGGGCAGAGTTGCATCAAGAGGTGAGTGTGGCTGTGTGGAGTGAGGAGAGTGGTAGGTGAGGGCGGTGTCATGAGGGAGTTTGAGTCTCCTTCTCAGTGTAGTGGGAAGCTGCTTTGAACAGGGAGGGGTGTGGCCTGATTTAATTCTGAAGTGCTAATCCTGTGCTTGTGGAGACTTGGGCTGAGGTCGTAGGGCATTGAAGCTGGAATTGGGGGGCCAGTTGAGATACTATTGCAGGCAAGAGATTGCAGTGGCTTGGACAGAGTGGCAATGGTGGAGGTGATAAGGGAGTGGATCCAGGATTTAATCTGAAGGGACAACTAGCAGGACTTGCCGATGGTTGGATGTGAGAGAACTTGGTGGTGGGACGGGGTCCTCAAGGTTTTGGCCAAGCAGCTGGTTGAATGATGGTGCCATTTGTTGAGATGAGCAACAGTGGGGGCAACAGTAGGTTTTGGGGGAGAAATCAAAGGCTCATTTTAAATACATGAAATTTCGGATGGTTTTGTGTATGCAAGTGATGATGATAAACAACAGCAATAAATAACACTGATGCCAACCTGCCAGGAGCTGTACCCCAAGCTTCACATACCTTAGCTCACTCAGGCCTTACAGCAGCCCTGTGAAGGAATAACTGTCATTATTCCAGCATGGCACATGGGGAAACTGAGGCATGGAGGTTAACTTCATTCATGGTTATGCAAAGTGTTCATGCCAGAGTTTGAACCCCAAGCATTCTGCTTCGAGTCTGTGCTTATAAACATAGCTTCTGCTATTGTTGGCTGTGGAAGCCTGCAGTTCTGCAGAAAGGTGAAGGCTAGAGACATGAAATTGGGAGTCATTGGCAGACATTTGTAACCATGCACGAGGTCACCAAGGGACTGGGCATAGACAGGAAAGAGGGCTGCTCAGTAAGCTGTGGCACACCTCTGCATTGAGAGTCAGTTAGAGGGAAGGTGAGAGGTGTTTCCAGGAGGCTGAAAAATAGCAGGAAGTGGTACAGAAGAAAACCAGGAGCCTGTGGATGCAAGCCACAGGGAGAAGGGGTTTCAGGTGGTGGGGAATGATCAGGAGCATCCAATGCCATGAGAGACCATGTAACGGGAAGGCAGGACACCAGTGCTGGGTGTGTCAGCAGAGATGTGGGTGACCTGGTAAGCGGGGTTTTGATGGAGTGGGAGACAGCAAGCTGATGTGACTGTGTTCAAGAGAGAATGGAAGATAGGAAGAGGAGGAGATGTGTAGGGACGATTGAAGGAATTTTGCTCTAAGTTGCAGAGACATGAGATGATAGCTGAGGGAATGTAGGTACCAGGAAGGACATTTGTGAGGTGGTAGATCTCATGGCATGCTGAGAAAAACGATCTAGTGGAGGGAAAACCTGGCGATGCAAGTGAGAGATGATTGCAGAACAGTCCTCATGTAGCAAAGAAGAGATACTGAAAAGAACGCAGAGGAGCCAAGACGCTTATTGACCTTTGCCCGAGTTCTTTTGTTATTAGGGGACACCATAGCATGATAGTCCCTAAAGAACGAAGAGCAGTGTTGTGTGACGTTGGCCATAAGCTTTCCTGATTGAGCCAGATGTGTATTGAAGACTCGCTTTTCTCTTCCTCCCTTCCAGGTGCCGTGCTATGTGTTTGATGAAGAGTTGAGGAAGCATGATCTCAATCCTCTGATCAAGCTTAGTGGTGCCTACTTGGTGGATGACTCCGATCCGGACACTTCTCTATTCATCAATGTTTGTAGAGACATAGGTATGAATCTTTGTGGAGCTGAGGGGGTGGTGGTGAGGGATTTCTTCTGTGGCTTCGATATCTTTGCGCTTCTACCTTTATTTCTGTTTGCACATCCATGTTTCTGAGTAGGCCCTCTAAGAAAGCTTTTGTCCCAAAAAATGTTGTCTTTGCACAACCCACCTCTTCTCCCCTAGTAGATTCCATGCCTCCTCCCCAACCCCTGCAGATTCCATCCTAACTGTTGGTCCATTCCATGTGGGTGTTCTCTCGGCCAGACACCTTGGGTTTCAGGATTCTACAGTAGTGAGGGTCGGTCTTGTTCTCTGTGTGCCTGAATCCCTTGGCTCTGAGTTATGGGCTGGGTAAAAAAGAAAAAAGGATGATCAAGGACTTGGGTGCTTGGCCGGGATGCGTATTTTGACCCAAACTGACTTGTTCCTAACTTTCTCTGTACTTGCCAGAACTGGTGTGAGAAGCTTTAGCTTTAGAATTTTTGATAAATTAACTAAAGGCCACAAATAAATGGTCTTTATTTAAAAAGGGCCATGAAGAGTTTTACTAAGACTTTGACTAGCCTTCAGCTAGTTTTACTAAGCCAGGTTTCTAAAACCCAGCTTGATGTTTCTCTCAAGGGCTGTGAATTGTTAGTCCTGTAGGCCAGATCTTGTCTTTCTACAGTGCTAGCCATGAGTAAATTCTGTGGTGACTAGTGAAAAGGTCATTTTTAGTGTTTTTCTTTGTTTTTTATTTCTCAAATAGTACATAATGCTTTACCCTTAGAAAAGTTTGGAGAAAATTTTTAAAAACTCAATACGTGGTACTGCTGGTTAGTAGATGAGTATTAATTTATAATTATTCTTTAAATTGTACATATACATTATGACTATCTTGTTTGTGTATTGTTTCTAAACAGTTAAAAACAGTAAATATACCCCATTCAGGGCTCACCAAAAGTAACCAGTGATAACTAGATTTTTTTTGTGTGTTAGAGTATTACATCTTTCTTTTGTTCTCCAAGGATAACCTTTATTGGTTTTTTGGAAAAAGACTAATACAGTCTTTGTCTTAAATGGGTCTGTAACTCAAGTTTGGTATAAAGTTGATGAGTTGTAGATTATTGAATTCTGAAATAATATGCTGTTTTGATTTGAAAAGCATTTAGGTTTCTGGTCTTTTAACATGTTACAGATCATCTGAATTTGCTGGGTATTTTCTTACAAAAGTTTTTTCTTTCCAATTTACTGGCAATTTGAGTTGAGCTTGAATGACTTTGATTCATAGTAGAGGTTCCCTGGTTTTTACTCAGACATTCTCCATTCCCAGGAAATTGCTCCAAGTCTCAAACCAAGATCAAATGTGACCTTCAAACCCTTGTGGATAGTGTTGGACTTGCTACCACGTGCTTACCTCCTTGCATTCTCAGGGCGCTTGCCGTATATTCTGCCTTTGGTATACCAAGTGGATTGTCTTACATTGAGTCCCCATGAGGGCAAGGAGCCTGTGGCACAACAGATACCATAAGTGGAACAAAGCAGTCCATTTGTGACATTTCATAATTCCACATAATTTCATAATTGTTTGGAAGGCTTGAGAGTTAAAGGTTTGCTTACCTTTTCGCTAGCTGGTGCCTCCTTATTGCAGAAGGTAGGTGCTGGTCTAGGCACTGGATTATAGCATTGAACACACCACAGTTCCTGTTTTCCTGGAGCTTTAGTTAGATGGGAGAAAAGATACATAGTCAACAAATAAATCCCAAAGTATACTGTGTAAGGTATTGGGTCATGATCATAGAAATGAATGGTAAAGAGCAACCCAGCTGTAATCATAGCTGTTGCTACTGGCAATCTATTAAGCCTGCATGATGTTCTGGACATATTCTGGGTATGTTCTCATCTTTAATCCTCCCCGAAACCTGTGCATTAGCACACTGGCAATTGGATAGTTTCGTAGTTAGACCAACGTTATAGAGATAGTAAGTGGTTAATTTAGGATTTGAACCCAGAGCTGTGGGTTCTTTCCACTAATCTCCTAATTGTTCCAGTCATCTGTGGAGTGCCTGCATTTTCTAGTCTCTGTAGCTTGAAAGGGGATAATGCTAACGTTGTTGTACCTCAAGCAGAGGATGGGTACATTTGTTAATTACAAATAACATCATAGCCCGTTTCCTGGGCACCTCTTATATACCAGTGCAGAGCCAGTACTTTACGTTCCTTCGTCCTGAGCTTTGTTTGCAGAGGGTTAATGGCTTGCCCAAGGTTTCAGAATAGTTACTTAGGGAAACTTCTAGGAATTCAGTAATTTGTTTAAAGGGACCCTGGATCTAAGGGTATGTGTGGTTATCACTCCTGACACGTAATCTGATTTAATGTAATACGTGATTTTCAGACACACTTCGAGACCCAGGTTCACAGCTGCGGGCCTGTCCCCCTGGCACTGCCGCCTGCCTGGTAAGAGGAGACCAGGCGTTCAATGTTGGCCAGCCCCAGGAAGGACTGAAGCTGGTGCGCAAGGACAGGTCAGCCGAGGCCTCCGATGTTGTTGGTGTTTTTAATTTCCAGCAAGAACTTGGCTTTCAGGGAGCTGCAGGAACATCCTTTTTCAGCAGGGCTTGGGATAGTCCCTGCAGAGTTACCGTCGTAAGATTGTTAGTCATTGCTGTGAGTCAGAGAGTCTGGTATGCTTGTCTGCTTTCTAATCATTTGTCTCTTACAGCAGTAAAAATATATCTCATGATCCAATCCATAGTACATACCTTTATTTGCCCCATGAAATAAAGCCTATCTTAAGGTGCCATCTGATATTTTTCATTCTGTGGCACCCGTGAAATTGATTTTGTGTCCATTGTTGTCTTGGGAGGGCAAGAGACAGGAGGGACAGTTTGCTGGTGACCTTCACTGGGACGTGACAGGCACCCTGGTTCCTGGCGGGGAATGGCGTTCCTTATAACAGGCTGTGCTGTGTACACATGCTCTGGTACTGCCTTTGTACCTTACCTTGGCAGACATATGCATTTCTCCAGTGTGTTGCTCATGACCATATCCTGAACTTAGATCAAGGATTCACATTTTCTCCCCGTTTAGGGGCCTTTAGTAGACACCTTGTTGTGCTTGCTCTAGTCTGGAGCTTGTGGCATGTCTGGGTAGGGAGCATGTGCAATTATAGATGGCACTCTGTCCAAAGAAAAGACTTGAGCATAACCTAAGGGGAGAAATGTTTGGAATTTTCTATATGTGTGTCTGTATTAGTTTACTCAGGCTGCCATAAGAAAATATGACAGGCTGGGTAACTTAAACCGCAGAAATGTATATCCTGCACAGTCTAGAGGCTGCACGTCTGAAGAAGGTGTCACCAGGGCTGGTTTGTTCTGAGGCCTCTCTCCTTGGCTCGTTAGATGGCCATTTTCTTTCTGTGTTTTCACATGGCCTTCCCTCTGCGGGGGGGGTGTGTGTCCGAATGTCCTCTTCTAATAAGGACACCAGTGATTTTGGGATTAAGGCTCACCCATATGACCTCCTTTTCCCTTGTTCACCTTTTTAAAGGCCCTGTCTCCAAATACAGTCACTTGCTGAGCTGTGGCTTAGGCCTTCAACATAAAAATTTTGAGGGGAAACAGTTCAGTCCCTAACAGAGTCTTCAAGGTGACACATCGGTAATTCTTAATATGAATGAGTGTGAGTGACGATGTAGTAACATGTGGGACACTGAGCAAAACTGTGAACTTCTCTGGTGGGAAAAAGCAGATCATCTCTGATCAGCTATTCTCTAGCAGGCAGCCAGGAGCACTGGGCCCATTCCACACTGAGTGAGTGAACTCTGGTGGTGGGGCCGTGTTGGATGGTGGTTTGGGTAGTGGAAGAGAACCCCACCCAGTTCAGTCCCTGCTGGGCAGGTGCTCTGGGGTTAAGACAAAACAAAACTTTGGCTGGCACTTAGAATTTATTGTGTAAAGAGGAAATGATTGACTAGCCTTGTGGGCAAAAATGCAATTGGCCTACTTGTCTGCTTTTTTTTTTTTTTTTAATTTTGTTATCTCATTTACAACATTTTTTTATTTGTTTGCTTTAGTCAAATGGTGTTTCTTCCTTTTTTTAAAAAAGTACTTTTTTTTGTTCCTTTTTTCTTTCCTTATTCTGGGACATGAAGCAGATCAAACAGGTTTTTTTTTCTTTTTTTTGTTTTTGTTTTTGAGATGGGGTCTCACTCTGTCATACAGGCTGGAGTGCAGCGGTGTGATCTCGGTTCACTGCAGCCTCCGCCTCCCTGTTCAAGTGATTCTCCTGCCTCAGGCTCCTCAGTAGCTGGGACCAGAGGTGTGCTACCATGCCCAGCTAATTGTAGTTTTGGTAGAGATGGGGTTTCGCTCTGTTGGCTAGGGTGGTTTTGAATTCCTGACCTCAGGTGGTCCACCATCTTGGCCTTCCAAAATGCTGGGATTACAGGCGTGAGCCACCGCGCCCAGCCAGGTTTTCTTAATATATCAAATTTATGTGTTGGTCACTTTATTTATTTGATTTTTAACAAAATAACACCCACTGGGGTTTACTTAGAACTTTTTTTTTTCCCAAATGGAAATGAAATGAAGTCATTTTATACCATAGCTTCTTTTATATTTTGATATTTCTTCTGCTACCTTCTCCCCACAAGTGAATGTGCTGAATGCTCAGGGAGGCATGTGAATTTGGATGCACTTTATACTTTTGTAATATTCTTTTCTCAATGTGGCTCTCCCAGGCTTGTCCTGAGTTACGTGAGGGAAGAGGCAGGAGAGCTAGACTTTTGTGACGGTCACAGCCCCGCAGTGACTATTACGTTTGTTTGCCCGTCGGAGCGGAGAGAGGTAAGTGACTTGTCTCCTGGTAACTGTAATGTGGCGCAGGTTAGCCTGGGTTGCCCACGCGAACGCGTGTCTGGGCTTGGGGCAGGGTGGGTCTGGGTGCAGGAAGCTGGGAGCCATGACAGAGGCACTGGTGGGCTCTCAGGAGGAGACGAGCTTCCTGGGATAGCTTCTGTCACATGAAGCTCACTCGGGGAGAGCTGTTTGCATTTTGCCTTTTGCTTTTTTACAGCAACCCGGAGGGGCCTCCACATATAATGGGATGGTTTTTTGTTCTAGTCTCTGTGAGACGATTTTAAGTAGTTTATGGGCAGATATTTTTGTTTTTGTAGTTGGATTGTTTTAGTGAATAGTGGAAAAATGCAGTATAATTTCAAGCCTGTGATTTCTGATGAGAAGCGTTTCCCTCCCTCTCTTTTCCCAGTCGGCCCCTAAACCCCCACCCATGCCTTCCCCCCTCCTTCTCATCACAGGCCAATTTATTGCTGTGCACTCTGCTGTGGATGAAATCTCCAGTGCAGTTGTAAACTCTTTGAGTGTAACTGCTGAGACTTACTTGTCCTTGAGTCCTCAGTGCCTGTTTAAGTGTTTTAACCGGGGGCAGGTGCTGATGGAAAGGAGGCATCCCCCAGGGAGGAAGGGATAGGGCAGGGCTTTCCTTTAGTTTCTTTCTGCCTTCTTAGTAATAGGGTGAAGTAGGGAGGGGCTGAATTCTTTTGCAGAGAACCACACTCCCCTTCCCCCAAGCAAATGTGGAATTTGCTCTGACGTCAGGCTGGCAGCTGGCCTGGTGTGTGTGGGATATGGAGACAGTGCTGGGCTCAGCTTTCCACTTTCTGTCCCCAGACTTCCACGTCCATGTACTGTCAACTGAATGAAGGCCTGAGTGTCTGATGTTTGTTCTGAGTATGAATGGGGAGGAATATTTATTCACACTTTTCATTTGTACCTACACATGTGAGTTGAAATCTCTTAAGCCCAGTGAGATGTTCTCAGGCGGTGGTGGTTTTAGTGTTTTCCCTTTTTATTTGCTCTACATTTGGTAAGAATCATTTTACTCTATGAGAATCAAGAGAATTGGGAGTTTTCCTCCTTTTTCCTCGAAGGGGTATGAGGCATTTCTTGGTGTTAGAAGAAGAGGCTGATTTGGTATTACTGGGGCAAGAGGTTCCTTTTTTTTTTTTTTTTTTTTTTTTTTAAAGACAGGGTCTCGCTCTGTCACCCAGGCTGGAGTGCAGTGCCACGATCTCAGCTCACTACAATCTCTGCCTCCTCAGTTTAAGCAGTCCTCCCACTTCAGCCTCCTGAGTAGCTGGGACTACAGGTGTGCACCACCATGCCTGGCTAATTTTTGTATTTTTAATAGAGATGGGGCTTTGCCATGTTGCCCAGGCTGGTCTTGAACTCCCGGGCTCAAGTGATCCACCCACCTCGGCCTCCCAAAGTGCTGGGATTACAGGTGTGAGCGACTGCGCACGGCCAGGTTTCTTTTCAAGCTTGACTATTCACTGGGCAGACCTTGTGTGACATGTGCTTGGACACTGTAATACTTGGGAGGTTTGTTTAAGCATTTACGGTTTGCTCATTGAATCATTTTAGGAACTGGTATTTAGTAAACACTCACCTTGTCATATAGATCTTTTTAAAAATGCTTGATTTATTTACTGGATTTACATACTGTAAAATGCACTGGTTTTTTTTTTTTCCAGTACAAGTCAGTGGTTATTAGTTTTTTTTTTAGAAGTGTGCAACCATCATCACAGTCTAAATTTTACATTTCCGTCACCCCAAAAAAGAAACCTCCTTCCCATTAGCAGTCTCTTCCCATTCACACCCCAAGCCCTGGTAACTGTGCACCTTCTTCCTGTCTCTGTGGATTGGCTTTTTTCGGATGTTTTATGTCAGGAGAATCCTACACTGTGTGGCTTTCTGTGCCTGGCTTCTCTTATGGAGCCCTGGGGTCTGCATCACCGTGTGTCAGACTGCACTGAGCCACGTGGGCAGAAGCATCGATTTTGAGTCAGACAGAAGAGGGTTGGGCCTGCAACTCTGCAACTTACTAATTGTGTGCGACCTGTTTGTAAACCTGTCACCTAGTGCCTGGCGTGTTGCAGGTGCTCAGTGCGTATTTATGGAACGAATGGTGCTGGAAAGCAGCACTGCTGTGCCCGGTGCTAAGCCCAATAAGATGTGTCTCCCAAGGATGGTTAAAAAGATGGCAGTGACATTCCTGGTGAGCAGGGACCCCATCAACCCCCTTCATGGCTCTCATCAAAGATGATTGGTGGAGCTCCCACTCTGTAGAAGCAATACAGTGGCAGAATCGGGTTTGTGTCTGGGTGGTGCCCTGGCTTCACCCGGGAGCAGGTGTGGGTACAGATGTGGTGCCCAGGATCCCACAGGGGTTGTGGACCGTGCCCTTGGATGTGCACGCGTGTGATGACGTTCACTCAGTGTCGGGCTTGCACCACTCCAGCAGCACCTTGTGGAAAGCGGTGAATGGACCATGCATCCTGCACGGCCTGTTAGCGCTTGCCGACGTCCTAGTGATTGCCACACGCCACTGAGTCCAGGTGCTCGCTGGCCAAAGCTTGAGTGTCTCTCTGAAGGTGACTAGACTAGAAAGAGAATAGAGTGTACAAAGTTAATGGAGGTGTTACAAATCAAATGGAAAAAAAAAATAACAGTTTAGAAAAAAAAGTAACTTTACTGAGTTGTTATAAGTCAAATAATCTTAATGTGTTAGAGGCAATTCATGATTCAAAAAACAGAAACAGCAAAATGTAGAAACCTAACAACCTGTCTTTGAGCTTTTCATAAGTGTGGAAAATCTGCACTTAAGCCACATGAAACATTTTTTATTTTGCCTCTTTCACATTGTTCCCAATAGGGCACCATTCCCAAACTCACTGCTAAATCCAACTGCCGCTATGAAGTTGAGTGGATTACTGAGTATGCCTGCCACAGAGATTACCTGGAAAGCAAAACTTGTTCTCTGAGCGGTGAGCAGCAGGACGTCTCCATAGACCTCACACCACTTGCCCAGAGCGGAGGTAAGCAGGCGCCTTCTGCTTCCTGGCGCTGCTTAGGAAGAAGGGGACTGAGAGAGGGTACGAGACAATAGGGGGCCATGTCAGTCCATGCCTGCTCCTGCGTTGGAGAGAGCTGTAGTTTGGGCTGGTGTTTCAGAAATAGAATTCAGGTTTGACTAAGTAATCCTGTAACCTTCTAATACCCGTTCATGTAAAACAAGCCTCTTGTTAATTTCCCTCTTTTTAGGTTTGCCCTATAGTTCAGATGGAAAAGAATATTTGTTTTATTTGAATGTCTGTGGAGAAACTGAAACACAGTTCTGTAATAAAAAGCAAGCTGCGGTTTGCCAAGTGAAAAAGAACAATACGTCTCAAGTCAAAGCAGCAGGAAGATACCAGAATCAGACCCTCCGGTACATCAACAACCTCTGTGTGCTTTTCCTTTTTCTTTGTGTTTCTTGAGACAGGGTTACACTCTGGCGCCCAGGCTAGAGTACAGTGGCGCGATCTCGGTGCATTGCAGCCTTGACTTCCCTGCCTCAAGTAATTCACCCACCTCAGCCTCCCGAATAGCTGGGACTACAGGCATGCACCACCATGCCTGGCTAATTGTGTAGAGATGAAGTTTTGCCATGTTGCCCACACTGATCTTGAATTCCTTGCCTCAGTGATCCTCCCACATTGGCCTCCCAAAGTGCATGGATTAGAGGCGTGTGCCGTGGGACCCGGCCTGCATAATTTTCAAGGGCATTGTGTGTATTCTTGTGAAACATAACTCCCTCTCCTTTTCTTCCTCTTTCCATTTTCCATAAGGTGCAGGGAAGTCAGTTACGCCAGCATTCCTTTCTATTAGACTTTGGCAAGTTGCCGTTTGTCACTAAACAATCAAATGTTTTTCCTGGCTTTAGAGTAAGAATGCTTCTGTTAGAACAGTTCACTTTATAAACTTGCCGTTTGTACGGAACCTACTGTAGGAAAATTACTTAATGAGTTGACAGTTGATAGGGCTTTTTTATTTTCAAATTTGTTTTTAAGGAGTTTTGATTTTTCTCTGGCAGTTTGAGAATCTCAAGCACCATCAACATTACAGAAAATTTTAAACAACTAAAACAGTGCATTCAGCACATTTCGTTTGACCCTTAACTTGGTAGTTAACCTTCAGAAAAGCAGGATGAAAATGCAGTTTTCTGAAAACGTGTTAGGGGCAATTACGATTCAAAAATTAGGAATAGAAAACTGCAAAAAACCCCAGAACTGGTCTTTGAGCTTTTTAAAAGCATGGAATATCTGCCGAGAAGCCGCATTTTAAACATTTTATTTTTGCTTCTTTCAAATTGTTCAGGATCAGTATTGTCCAAGGCCCCTCAGGCACGGCTGTGTTCATGGCGGCTGTTAGGAAGCCTGTCTAATTCTTGGGCGTTATTTATTTTGTACAAAATCTAAAAGTGAGAACAAGAGAAGTCTTCATGCTCACAGAAAACCTTCAGCACTTTCTTCCAGCCAGTTACTACTTTGAAGCGAGAGGATGTCAAGCCCATACATTTGGAACTCATTTCCTGTAGATATTTTTCCCTAGCTGGCTAGAGAGCTTGCTGTTTTAGATCAGTAGTGATTTGTTGATGCTATGCAAAAGGCTTAGTGTAGACATTTAAAAAGAGTCAGGTTTCTTTCTTGGTTCTCCCAAACACATTTGTCTTTATATTCACAAAAATCTAGATATTCGGATGGAGACCTCACCTTGATATATTTTGGAGGCGATGAATGCAGCTCAGGGTTTCAGCGGATGAGCGTCATAAACTTTGAGTGCAATAAAACCGCAGGTAAGTGTGCACTGGAGTTCAGCCCCTCCTCTTTCCATTCGTGGGCATGTGCTTGTGTGTGTGCACAGGCGTGTTCTTGGAAGTGAACATTGAATGGAGGAGTCAGATGCCGTCCTTTGGACTGGCCAGCTCTAGCCCCCAGACTGGGTTTTTTTCTATTGGAGTAACACTTTCCCCACCCCCACTGCCCCAGTGGACACACACATCCTGTTTGCATTTTCCTCGGTTCTCTCTGTTTGTTTTGGGAGTGGGCCCAGCACTGAGCTTGTTGGGAAAGTTTTCGTCTTGCATTTTGGTGCACACTAAACTACAGCAAGGACAGATTCGGCAGGGGCGAGATGGCTTGCCAGTTTTGTTTGAGGGACCTCTTCTTTTATGTAATGAGTGTCAAGGTAATCCTTTTTGCAAAGTGGTGAGCCTGTGGTAGAGTTTGGATCTGGGGATTGCACAATGTCACTGGGTACGTTGAAGCCGAAGGCGTGCATTTCTCCGAGTGATGAGAAGCACCCTTGAGTCACCAAGACACTGGCATTTCAAAAAGCGGTGCCACTGTCCATATCTTGACGATTGTAGACACCGTTGTAGCTGCCTCTGGGTTGGCAGCTGCGCCCAGGAGGTGAAGGTAGAAGTCATTCCTTAAAGAGAGTGGCTTAGTGTACTTATTAAAAACCACACCATCAGAAACTTGTGCCATCTGTTGACCCCCAGGCTGTGACTCCAGGCACCCTGCAGGGCACCCTACCACTGCTCAGAGCAGTTCTAGAGCCCATTCTGGGTTTCTGTAGTTTGCCCCAAGTGCTGCCACACCCAGAGGGTCTTTCTGGCCCTTGCTTCCGTGTGTTCTTCTATGGCAGAGCTTTGTGTGGCTTGGTGACAGGGTGGGTTGCTGCAGGATTCACTGTGGGATGAGGGAGAGGCAGCTGGACATGATGGGAACCTTGCTCTCGAGGCCTCCGGAGATGAGGTGTGCGTTGGGAGAGACACTTAGGCACCCCTGCCCTGGTAGCTCCGCAGCGCTGCGAGCGTCCTAGCAAGCAGGCCAAGATCCAGCCCGGGGTCTTCCGCTGGGAAGGCTTTCCAAAATGCCCCAGTAACTGCTGTTGTGGCACCTGCCCCTGGGGTGCCCTCGTTCACAGGTCTGCCATTGCTGTCCTTGTTCTCTGCGTGGCCGCTTTTGTTACTTTCCCAATACACACATTTTTTTAGTGCCTATTTGCTTAGGCTCTATGAGGCTGGAGGGTGTTGTAAGGATAGATGGCTCTCTAGGTGTTCACAGACTAGGAGCAGAGAGAGAGAAGGAGCATGAGGATGGAGGTTCAGGGCAGTGCTGCCAGAGTAGAGCTAGTGCTTAGTGTTGTCACTTCGCTCCTTTACCAGGAGGGAGGCACGAAGGTCAACTGGCTGGAGTCTGGGCTGGGTGCAGGGGCCAGGCAGTTAAGAGAGAAGGAAGTGCTGCTTGAGCCATGCTACGTTTAGGAACGTGCCAGTCCCGTGTTGGGGTGGCTGTAGGGCCTGGACCTCCAGACATTCAAAGGCATGGACCAGGGTAGCTGCAAGCGGGTTAGAGGCCGTGTATGGGGAATGTGGCTGAAGACGACCTGGAACGGTGAGTGTGCAGTATTGTAAGAAACTTGCATGTCCTGCAGAGGAGCTGGATTATATCTGGAAATCTATGAAGTCCCAAGGATTTTCAGCAGGGGTGTGACAGACATCTGACTCGTGAATGAGAAAATGCACCTCCCATCTGGTCTAAGCACTCCCTGCACCCCTCAGCTTCTCCATCATTCTCTCATCGCCCTCACCTCTTAGCTACCTACGCTACTAGCCTACTTAGCCGTGTCTGCACCCTGAATCACATCTCTCCTACTCGGTGTCCCCAGTCCCTAGGGATACAGCCTGTATCTTCCCCATGTGCCCAGCCCCTCTGATGCCCAACCTTGGTTCTGGCTCCCAGGTCACCCCAACTGGCTCTCCTGGACTTCTTGCTGGCTTGGGCTGTTCTGCTGTGGTCTGAGTCTCCCTCCAACTTCGTGATGACCTCCTTTGGCCCTGTTCTGTTCAGGGCTTTTTATTAATGACTTGGCCGAGATCTTTGAGAGTGTGCTGATCTCATTTGGGGATGCTGGGAAGACGGAATCATTATCCAGAAAGATTGAAAAGGATGAGCAGCATATGAGAAGGGCATTATGTCGTCTCAGACTTACAGGGAAGAGGTATGGGCATTGAGGAGCTGCCAGCCAAGCAAGCAAAAAACACAGGAGAGAAAAACCAAAGAACAGAAAGAAAGAAAAATAGAAAAAAATTAAAAAGACCCGCAGTGGAGTGGGGAGATCTTGCCTTGTGGTTATGAGCATGGATGAGGCCACACCCTCTGGATTTGGTTCCCAGCCGCCCTAGTTTTTAGTTACGAAACCGTGGGGCCCAGAGAGCATTTTGTCAAGCCCAGATGAGGTGAGGCTTGACAAAATGCTCCGTTTTTCTTTTCCGTTATAAAAATTTTCAAACACAGAAAGAACATTGAAACAAAAATTTACATGCCTGCCACTCTTAAGAGCCCTTGATGTTTTGGCAGATTTTTCTTGTAAGCCATGCGTCATTGATGGCCCATATCACCCCACCCTGATGCCAAGAAAGAACATTCCTTTATATAAATTCAGTACCATTGTTGTACTTAACAAAATTAACGGTGACATCCTGATATTAAAAACCCATGTTTTCCTAAACTGTTATCTTTATGATTGTAACAAGGAGCCTGGACAGAGAGATGTGAGGTGTTTTGTGGGAGGATTTTGAGCTGGTTCTCAGGCAGGAGTTGTATTAAAAAATACTTACAATTCCTTCCAGCTCTGTAATTCAGCACTCCAGACTTTGAGAGCAAACTATGTACTGCAAAATTAGTTCATTGTTACTTTGCTCGAATTTAAACTTAGAGTTTTTGAAGAAAATCCCTTGGTGGACTCTGTGTATTAGATAGATGTAGTAATGTATTTTTGAAGGTGAACGGGTGATAATTGGCTGTGTAATAGAAGTGTAGTTTAAGTTGGATCTCTAGGAATTATGCATGTGAATCTAAGGTTCATGCATTTTTCAGGATGTAAGTGTACCTTTTGGTCATAATGTTTTTTACCATTTGTTTAAATCTAGTTGTAAAGTGATGCTTTATTATTGGTGTTTCCTTTAAATAAGGATGTTAGATAATTTTTTGGAAGAGCAGAATTCATTAGGATAGGCTAATAAAAAACCACTCACAAATTTAAGTAGCTCAGCCCATTAAAGGTTTCTTGTCTTAGTTCAGTGCTAGTCCTTGGGGATAGGGTTGGGGTAGGGGGTGCAGGCTCTGCTCCATGTGGTCATTTGGGGACCTGCACTCTTTCCATCCTGTGTTTCTGCCATCTGTAGGTGTGACTTCCAAGGGCTCTGTAGGATGGTAACATCAATTTCCTTTGTTTTGTTTTTTCCCAGGCCAGAAATAAGTCACTTGGCCCAGCCTGAATAGCAGGGGAGGCTGGGAAATGGAGTTTAGCTATGTGTCTAGAGGAAAAATTAAACAAGTTGGGTAAGAGGTAGCATTGTTTTTGCCACAGAGAAATGGGTGCTGCTGCCTGCTCCTTAGGCAGAGAGCTCCTTGGTTCCATTTGAAAACCTTCCTTCCGCTTTTGCTGGAGTCGAGAGACTGAGGACACAAAGTGGTGTGCTGGAGAATAAACTCGAGCCTGTGGAGCCAGACTGGCAACTTGGGGATTGTGTGAGTGAGGGAGAGATTGTGCAGAGCTAATCCTAACATTGCTGATGAGCGGACAGAAACCATAGGCCTCATGAATAGTGATTTCTGAAGTCATAAGCCCAGTATGCTTAAAAATGAACCGAAGTGGTTTGGGAGAGGGGAGCACAACTTACTGTTCTGCTAACATTCTTTGAGCAATGAAGTAAGAATACGTGTAAGGTACATAGCAATGGTTATTTACAGTGGACTCTGCCTGCAGATTATTAGTACGTCTCAGATGCAAAACCAGCTCAAAAGTACGGACGAGTACTAGGACGATTTGTAGTGGTATTTAATTGTTTGTAAACTTACCTAGTAAAAGAAAAACGCAGTGAATGCTTCACGTTTGCAGAACACAAATCTTTTTCAATAGTGAAATGTGAATCCAGTAGGATTAAACTGTGTGTAAACCTTGTGGGCGGGATGAAGAGAGGCAGAGGCGCGTCATTATTGCTAAGTTAGTTCGCCGGCAAGCTCAGGGGCCAAACCAAACAGACAAAAAACACAGGAGAGAAAACCAAAGAAAAAAAGAAAAAAACCCCACAGTAGAGTGGGGAGATCTTGCCTTGTGGTTATGAGCATGGATGAGGCCAGACCCTCGGTCTGATTCGCACTGCCCTAGTTTTTAGTTATGAAACCATAAGCAAATTATTTAGGCATCCTAAATCTGCAAAATGGTGCTAAAATTGTACCTTTGTCATAGGGTTTTGAGGATCAAATAGATTAATATAGTCATGTGTTGCTTAACAATGAGAGTATGTTCTGAGAAATGTGTCTTTAGGTGATTTTGTCATTGTATGAACATCATAGAGTGTACTTAACACACACCTAGATGGTATATCTTGCTGCACACCTAAGCTATATGGTGTAGCCTATTGCTCCTGGGCTACAAGTGTGTACAGCACGTGAGTGTACTGAGTACTGCCGGCAGTTGTAACACAATGGAAAGTATTTGAGTATCTAAATATATCTAAACATAGAAAAGGTCCAGTAAAAATGCGGTATTACAATCTTTTGAGACCACTGTTGTATATGCAGTCTGCTGTTGACCAAATGTTATGCAGCACGTAACTGCATAAAGAAAGTACTTAAACAGAGCCTGTTTTTCTGCAGCTCGGCCTTATGTAGCTGAGATGCTGAGCTCAGTGCCTGGCTGTGACTGTGCTCAGTACAGGTTCACTGCTGTGGCTGGTAGTATAATTATAGTGATGACACTGTTAAAGATTTGGTAGAAATTACAATTGAAGTATCGTTTGCTCTTGATACAGAATCTTACTTCCCGTTTTCTTAGATCATTGCATAGCTTATGGTACCAAACCGCAAGGAGGCAGATCACATGGTGGGAGGCTCAGACAAGGATTATGAAACCATCAGGGTTGGGAAAAGGAGGGTTGTGCCCACGGCCCTCTAGTCTGGAAAGGTGCAGGCATAGGATTTCCAGCAAGGAGCAAGTCAGCAAAGCCTCCGAATCTCCACGTCCATGGGATGGGGACTTGACCTGTGAAGAGCTGGTTTTCAGACTTAGACCTGAACTATTCCTGCTGAGGAATGGGAAGTCTGGGGGGCTCACTCTTGGTGGAAGAAGAGGCTCAATTTGAGGAAGGTGTTACAGACAGGTGCACTGACGGAGCCACAGAATGCCAGCACTGTTTGAAGATGTGCCGCTAACATTGTTGGGCTGGCATAGGACCTTGCCGTGCTTTCACTGGGAGCAACTGACTGTAGGTGGTTTCCACCCTTGTTTTACTTTAGGGATGAGTCCCAGAGAACTTGTCTTGTTCACAGTCGCATCACGAAGTCAGTGGTGCTCAGGGAACTAGAGCTCCATTTCTGTCTTCTTTTCTGCGAGTCCCCAGTGTCACCCAGAGATGTTCAGAAGCCTCTGGGAGCTGATCATAGCCCGGGAGCAGAGGATCCCACTCACTGCCTTTGCGTTCCTCCTGCCTGCCCTTTTAATCTTATCTTCGAAGGCGCTGTACACGGCCTCTGTCAATGTCTCCCAAGGTGAAAGGCACGCTGGCCTGCCAGCCTGCCATCGAGGACTTAGGGTTAAGCATCTGAAGCTCAATAGAAGCCTCTGCCATCTCAGACCCCCAAGGTCTCTAAGAAAGTCTGGACCTGAATTTTTTCACTGGTCAGTTGGCATTGGTCCTGTTCAGTTTCTTCCTTGCTCCTTAGCTGTTCCTCAGTTTTGGTCACGTATGGAGTTTAAATTTCTCCTCTTGAATCGTACAGGTAACGATGGGAAAGGAAGTCCTGTATTCACAGGAGAGGTTGACTGCACCTACTTCTTCACATGGGACACGAAATACGCCTGTGTTAAGGAGAAGGAAGACCTTCTCTGCGGTGCTGTCGACGGGAAGAAGCGCTACGACCTGTCCGCGCTGGTCCGCCACGCAGGTACTGCCCTCCTTGCCGTGTGGGTCTCAGTCCATGTGTTCGTGGAACAATTTCCCTGAGTACTTTTGGAAATGCTGTTACTATTTTGTTTGTCAGTGGGCTGGGTCACAGCCTACCGCCCGCTTTTTTCATGTGGCTGTGTGAATTATTAGAAGGAGCATTGGATTGGGAGGTGGAGTATCTGAATCTGAGACCAGCATTATTGTTTTCTGGTCGGGTTACCTTGGGCTTATCATAGTTGAGCAGAAACTGCCCTGCACCTGCAGGGTGTCAGGCCTGTGCTCTGTGTTGTTTAGAAGCTTACTTGCTTGCTTTTTTTTCCTTTAAAGTTTTTTTTTCTCTCTTATAACAGCCTTCCCATAGGCCATATCCCCACTTACCACAGGAACTCTCAGGCCCACAGAGTGGAGCTGCGGCTCAGTTGCTGTCTTTTGACCTTGTGTTTTTACCCTTTTACACACTGCCTCTGTTCCATCTCTGAGGTGGGATCTGCAGCCTCTGCCCCTGGGGTTCTTCTGTTTGGATCCTCCAGGCAGATGGATGTGTGCCTTGGGCCGCTGTTCACTGGTGCCTCAGTGGTGTGCAGCGGGCTTGTCCTCGAGGCTGAGCTTGCTGTTGCACAGCAGGCACCGGAGCCCCCCACAGCACAGTCCCTGTCCTCGGGGGCTTGGAATCTAGCAGGAAACAGAGCAGATCGAGTAAGAAGAATGGGAGTCTCAAGCAGGGATAATCTGATGGGGGAGATTTCTGGTTTTACCCTTTTGGCAGCTCAAATTAGTTGTGCAGAAGCCAGTTGCCTCTGTAAGGGGGAGATGACCTGAAGCAGAGAGAATGACTTGCCTCATGTAATTACCAACCAGAACAGTCACAGAACTGCTGGCGGTATGTTCTCGCTCGTAAGTGGGAGTTGAACATTGAGAACACGTGGACACAGAGGGGAACAGCACACACCAGGGCCTGTTTAGGGTTGGGGGCGAAGGGAGGGAACTCAGAGGATGGGTCAGTAGGTGCAGCAAACCACCATGGCACATGTATACCTATATAACACACCTGCATGTTCTGCACATGTATGTCTTTTTTTTTTTTTTTTAGAAAAATAAAACTGCAGCGGTGACAGGACTGCTGCTCCTGTCTTCTGAGCCCCACCTGGTTTGGAAAATACCAGGTTAGAAAGAGGAATGAATCCCTCTTGTGGAGTGTTTGAGAACCTGCCTCACTGTGAACCGCCTGGGCAGTGAGTGCTGGCAGTGCTGTTGTGGTTAAACACCCTGTGCGCTGCAGGGAACGGTGCTGTAATTAATTCTGCCACATGTGTGCTAGTGAAGACACTGGTTTTCTGTGAAGTGGAAAGAGTTCTAGCTGCAGAGTTGGAGACCTGGCTGAGGACTGATGTTACCACATCCAATTGCGTTTGCTTGAGCGAGCTGCTCTCCCAGCCCGAGTTTCTTCCAGTAAAGTGGGTGGTCCTGTGAGATCCCTTAAGTCAACCTTTTTTTTTTTTAAAAAAGAAAATCACTGTGTATAAGAGACAACCTAGGACCTGTGAGATAAGGAGAGAGACATTTTTCAATCTGTAGACTTCCTGACACAGTTCTGGTCTCTTGGAATCTGGAGTGTTTTGTGGCATTTGCACGGAGATAGCCCTAAGGAAGTTACGAGGGGAGAGCTAAAACTGCTCCTTACTCTTGAAGAAGTCCCTTAAGACTTTACAGCCCACCTGGCTCCACCCCAGACTTCCAGTATTTAGGGCAGGTCCTTGTTCACATGCACAGTCTTGTATGGTTTCTTTTAGGCTGTTGACATTGGAAAGTACTTCTCCAAATGTACTGTATCACCACTGATGAGTCATGGGGTTTTTGCCTTCCAAACCCCAGTACCCAACCTGCAAAGGGAGCGTTTTCAAATGAGAAGATGTATTTTTATATCTTTACCTCCTTCTTTACACACTTTCTAAGTTACTTCTTCAGCAACTGTTCACCGTGTGGTTTGCTTTTTGTGGATGTCCTTGCCCTCGCGTGCTGCGCTGGTGACACTCAGCTGGTGTCCCCTCACCTCCTGCAGGCGCCTAATCAGTGTCTGCTCACACTCACCAGCTCATGAGTCTTGTGAGTTCAGCGGCCACCTGTGGTACCTTGCTTGTCTTCTGTGGTAGCATGCATTGTGTTCTGCACTGAGTCTGCAGTTGTGTAAGAGGTTGCTGGCTTTTTTTTAGCTGCACAGGCCTTCACAGGGGCTGAGCTGAGCTGGTGTATTATCAATGGTGTGCCACTCTACTGCGTCCCAAGACACAGGATGGCTTCTTGATTTGGGTTTTCAGTTTCTAATTTCATACTGTGGGGCTTGGGAGAATTTTGCTATTTAATTCTCTGTCACCCAGTTGGGCCTACTCTTCTGAAGAAGTATTGGGATGTCGTTTGTTTCTGTCACATTAAATGAGAAACCTGAGAATCTCGGTGAATTTTTGTGCCTTCAGTCTGCCCGGGTTCCAGAAACGTGAGCGCTGGGGATTGAGGGACGAAGTGCTTTGGGAGCTCTGGTCCCTTGACCTTTGGCTTCATCACCATTTATTCTGTGACTCACAGAAATCAGCATTGCTTTTGGCTAAAATACACTTTTGTTACAGAACCAGAGCAGAATTGGGAAGCCGTGGATGGCAGCCAGACGGACACAGAGAAGAAGCATTTTTTCGTTAATATCTGTCACAGAGTGCTGCAGGCAGACAAGGCGCGAGGGTGCCCCGAGGATGCGGCAGCGTGCGCAGTGGGTGAGTTGTGTCCGGAGGGAAGAGCTAGGTGATGGTTTTCTAGGGCATCCAGTTTGGAATGAGTTAGAAGAGCTTCCTGTGGTTCATCTAAGCCTCCTCTTTCTATATTCACATAAAGGATGGTAAAACATTTTTATTCATGAATCAAATGTCGCTGACTGCTTGATGCGCTCTGGAATCCTGAAGTTGGCTGTAGCTTCCTGATATGGGCTAAAGCCATAACTGGGAACAGAAGGAACCATGTGGAAAATACTATGTCATCTTTTGAGTTTGTAACCTGAAGAATATCATTGCCAGTATTTGTGTACAAGTAATTTTATTTTATTTTATTTTATTTTATTTTTTATTTTATTTTATTTTATTTTATTTTATGTTATTTTTTTGAGATGGAGTCTCGTGCTGTCGCCCAGGCTAGAGTGCAGTGGCCGGATCTCAGCTCACTGCAAGCTCCGCCTCCCGGGTTCACGCCATTCTCCTGCCTCAGCCTCCCGAGTAGCTGGGACTACAGGCGCCCGCCACCTCGCCTGGCTAGTTTTTTGTATTTTTTTAGTAGAGACGGGGTTTCACCGTGTTAGCCAGGATGGTCTCCATCTCCTGACCTCGTGATCCGCCCGTCTCGGCCTCCCAAAGTGCTGGGATTACAGGCTTGAGCCAGCGCGCCTGGCCAATTTTATTTTTTTAAACAACTTTATTGCCTAGAATTGTTCAAAAGTTGTGGCTTAAGGAAAGCGTAATCTCAGCTATAGCCCTAGTGTAGGAGGGGCCTGCATGCTTCGCTTCCTTTTGCTGTCATTGTTTTGGTGCCGTAACTGTCATGCAGAGACTCCTCAATTATTTGATACAGGTCTTTAGCACATTCATTTTTGTCTTCTGTGACTCACTTTGAAAATGCCAGGCTATGAGAATCTGTTAAAAGCATTCAGTAAGAAATTGTGAGCCTCGGTTGGATTTTAGGAATGACCCTGGTATTCAGAATTGCTGGTGTGTCTTCAAAAGCAGGTTCAGGCATGTCCATGTCTTTACTAAGAAGGACTTCGGAGCAGACTTTTAATCCTTTATAATAAAAAGCAAGTGAACCAAGAAGTAAGTGGCCTCCCGCTTGGGTTGCTAAACAGGTTTCGTTAGTTTCTGCTTTGGATATGAGACACATTCTCACCCTTTGGCTGTGTGGCTGTGCTTTCAAAAGACTTTGTGTCTTGGGATAGCTGAAGCCCCGACAGTGGCGGACAGTGTCAGTTTACAGTTGGCGCTGATGCATGTTGCAAAAGCCATTTGGTTTTTTATTTTGCGTCATTCATGGCACTTTCCTGCTGAGCCTATGGATGACCTTGGAGGACCCCGACGTGGCTGGTAACATCCAGTCAAACGTGGCACTCTAGGGAAACCCATCGGCTGCCCTGGGGGGTTCGGTGGGCTGGAGAAGGGGCTGCACTGGCTGGGTTTGGGCTGATTTCTTCTTTCTTTTTTTTTAATCACTTCTTTGTCCACATGATGATAATTTTTAACCATATCTTTTTTTTTTTTTCCTCCCCTTTCTCTTCCAGATAAGAATGGAAGTAAAAATCTGGGAAAATTTATTTCTTCGCCCACAAAAGAGAAAGGCAACATTCAACTCTCTTATTCAGATGGTGATGATTGTGGTCATGGCAAGAAAATAAGAACTAATATCACACTTGTATGCAAGCCAGGTAAAAATTTTAAAAACGATGAAATCTTTTGTTGGGTTCTGCCAGAGGTCCTGCATTCTTCATATCTCTGGTCCTCATCAGTCCCTGCAAAGGTGATCAGACAGATTGGCATGGTGTTAAGCATTTTGAGTTCCAGAATCTTTGATGATGGGAACTAGGTCATTTGGATTTTTCCCCTCATCCCCTCCCCAAAACCAAATGAGAAATGGAGAAACCAGATGGTGTCAGAAGGAAGTGTTGTGGGTCTCAGCACTGCATCCTCTTCCTCGGGACTGATACGGGGCCAGTCATGCGGTTACTTAACTTCCTCCAAAGGGGAAAAAAATCATAAATGGTTTAAAACATTGCCCATGATCTCACCACTTAAACACAATGCTAATTTTCATTACCTTTATTTATAGGTGTATGTTTTTACGAAGTCAAAACTTTTATGTTAACAAATCTTAATGTTTCTCAAAGTGTAGTATTTTGTAAATACCCTTCTGTATTTCACAGTTCTATTAATAATTTTTAGGAACTTCCTTGTTGACATGGTGTGGTTTTACTATTTTTAAACATTTTTCTTATTGTTGGATTGATAGCACATTTCCAGTATTGCTAATCGTGCCATTATGTATCCTCTCTCTACCTCCCATCGAAATATTTCCTTTGGATAAGTTCCCAGCTGTGGGATAAAGTCAGAAGCTAGGATCATTTTGTTTGTTTGTTTGTTTTACGGTAAAATATACAACATAACATACAATTTACCATCTTAACCACTTTTAAGTGTGTAGGTTGGTGACATTGTTGTGTAATACCATCATCATCCATCTCCAGAACTTTTTCATCCTCCCAGACTGAAACTCAGTTCCCATTAAACACAGCTCTCCATTCCCTCTCTTTTACTTTTTGTCTCTATGGATTTGACCGTTCTAGATACCTCATATAGATGGAATGCTACAGTATTTGTAGGGCTGTTTTTTGACCCTTCCATGCATTCTACCTCATTTCCTGCTGTCCCTTCCAAGTCTACTTCTAGCAGAGAAGAATGAGGGAAGATTTTTTAGGAATGAATGGATTAGTGATCCCCATCTCTTTTCCCCATTGACAGGTGATCTGGAAAGTGCGCCAGTGTTGAGAACTTCTGGGGAAGGCGGTTGCTTTTATGAGTTTGAGTGGCACACAGCGGCGGCCTGTGTGCTGTCGAAGACAGAAGGGGAGAACTGCACGGTCTTTGACTCCCAGGCAGGTCTGTGTCCGAGCAGGACCTCTGCGTTAATGTGACTTGGAACCACTTAAGGTTTTTTCCTAAACATTCTCTGTGAGGTTTTCAAGGTAACCTGCCTTAGAATTTTATTCATGCTGTTTGAACACAATTCTGAACAGCCGATGTTTGGGACTTACTTGAGATATTGAAAATACTATCTTAAATTCCTTATTGAGGTGGGTTTGCTGAATGTAAAACTTTTGGAACTCAAGGGAGTAAATTAGGTTTGAAAAGGCTTTCACGTGAATTCTAGGCAAGAAACCTCTCTGAGGGAGACCTTACAAGAAGGCCATAATATTGTGCTCATCCTACTTTGAATATGCTGGTTGTTTATTAGCCAGCAGTTATGGGCTTTTTTGAATAGGGCTTCAGGCTAACCCAGTAGAAGGGAATGGTGGAGCTGGATCCTTCTCGAAGGAAAATGTTAGTAATCGCGGTTCTGGTGGCCTCAAGGGGCAGTGTCTCTTCTGCCTCCTTCACTTCTTCCTGCCATTGGGAACCTCCTGGGAAGGACCTCTCCCTTTCAAACTGTGGGGTGAGACCACTCTGTTAACTGTTCGGACTGACCTTCCATAATTTTACTGTTTTTCTTCTTTTTTAGGGTTTTCTTTTGACTTATCACCTCTCACAAAGAAAAATGGTGCCTATAAAGTTGAGACAAAGAAGTATGACTTTTATATAAATGTGTGTGGCCCAGTGTCTGTGAGCCCCTGTCAGCCAGACTCAGGAGCCTGCCAGGTGGCAAAAAGGCAAGTAACTAGCTTCTCAGTTCTGTTTCATTCTTAGGTATCATGTGCTAACAAATATTTTTTTCAGGAATAGGTGTGTTCTCACTTAATGTCATCGCTTTATGACAAGCATTTAAATAGTGATGAGACCTGGTCTGAAAACTGAAGGACGTTAGGAGTTTAATTTCCCAGAGGAAGGAGCAGGCCCGTCCTTGGGAAAGAAGGGTGGATTGAGGTCATGCCTCACTTCTGTGCATTTTGCGCTTCTCAGTTCCTCGATATTTCTGTGCGTATTTCTGCATTCTGTGTAGCTTTAGTTCGAATGAAGTGAGTTGTCTAAACCAGTGGTGCCAAGAGGAGATTTGGGTCCCAGTGTCCCTGCTGCAGTTAGAGACCTTGTGTGGGCTCCTGTGGTCTGCAGCCCTGGCCTGGTTCTGGTGACTCCCCACGTCGCTCACGGGCCCTCCCTTCAGTGTGGCAGCCTTGCACTGCTTCTGCCCTCAGGCCTTTGCTGAGAGAAATGTGTGTTTATTTCAGTGACGAGAAGACTTGGAACTTGGGACTGAGTAATGCGAAGCTTTCGTATTATGATGGGATGATCCAACTGAACTACAGAGGCGGCACGCCTTATAACAACGAAAGACACACACCGAGAGCTACGCTCATCACCTTTCTCTGTGATCGAGACGCCGGGGTGGGCTTCCCTGAATATCAGGTAGGAATGTTTGTCCCTCATCGCGCTCCCTGAGGATACTCGCGCCTGTGCTGGGCCTTTCATTGAGAGGCAGAGCTTGTGTCAGTCTGGGTTTCTGGCCAAATCATCACCATAATTCGATTTGACAGGGTACCTAGGCAGTATTAGTTTCTTAAGCTGTTTATTTAGTGGGTTGTGCACCTTAATAACAGCCCACAAGCCTGTCAGTTTTGGGTACAAAACATGCAAAAGCATTAAAAAAATCCTGAATTAACCCCCACTTAGCAGAGGCTAAGTTTTCATCCTGATATATTACTGAACAATCTTCCTTTAATAAAATGAAGGGAGATGGGCAGAGTAGGCTTTTTTTCACAGTTTCTCATTGGGAACACTGGTCCTATCCTTTTTTGAATCCTGGCTTTATGTCATGGGTCTTTCTCTTTTTGCCATCCCTCCCTGCATTTCTCTGCTGCCGTGGATTAGGAAGAGGATAACTCCACCTACAACTTCCGGTGGTACACCAGCTATGCCTGCCCGGAGGAGCCCCTGGAATGCGTGGTGACCGACCCCTCCACACTGGAGCAGTACGACCTCTCCAGGTGAGGCAGAGTCAGCTGCTCTGTTTTTGGCCTGGTGCAGATGCTGAGGTTGCGGGTGTTGCTGGCGAGCCTGTGACTGAGCTGATGATGGGGAGTGATGCTGGCTCTGGGGCTGCAGGACCAAGGTGGGGCATTTTCAGCAGAGTGAATTCTAATAACGGTCTGGTCGCCTTTGGGATAGCAACCAGTCTTGGCCACAGCAGAACCTCAGCCTTTAGCTTCATCATTTAACCAATGACTGTCAGTTCAGAGGCATGGGGGACAGTTAAGGTCCACTGCATACTGAGTTTAGCGAAGGTTGAGTGTAATCCTGGTGCGTCATGAGTCCAGACAAGCCAACTTCTGGTTGTGTGATTGGTGGAGCATGCTTTATTTGGTAGCTTTACTTCCCCAACTACATAGAAATAAATTAGACTGAAACGTGTAAGCTCTTAAAGAGCGTATAATTTTGCTTTGAAATTTTAGTCTGGCAAAATCTGAAGGTGGCCCTGGAGGAAACTGGTACGCCATGGACAACTCAGGGGAACATGTCACGTGGAGGAAATACTACATTAACGTGTGTCGGCCTCTGAATCCAGTGCCGGGCTGCAACCGGTATGCATCGGCTTGCCAGATGAAGTATGAAAAAGATCAGGTGAGTCTGTTTTCACTGCTTGTCTCCTTTGCCCTCCTAATTCCGTGACTTAGTGGGAGGAGGTGGTTATTTTGGGACATCCAGATCAAAGGCGGCACAGCTGCTCGAGAGAAATCCTCTGAGTAGGAGTGGGGCCTCCATGTGAACTCGTCTGCCCCCTGTAGGAGCACAAGTGTGTCACACAGGAATCATCGTTCACGTGGAGAATGCTGTGTTGGAGACCTTTGATCACACAAAGGGCAGAGGAAGCACCGAATGGTTATGTCTATCCTGAATTCAAAAGCGTCTTTAGGTGCTTTCAGCAGATACCTGTGAAAAAGAGAGTTTTGCTTCCAAAAGCTCTTGCTTCTGGATTGATTAGGGGGAGAAAGCGGTTTGGGAGAGTTGCTGCGGATGAAATAGATTCCAACACGCACTCTCAGTCGCTGCAGTTCGTCACTGGGTTGAGTGCAGTCACTGAAAGAACATTTGCCTGTCTCCTGTGGTCGCTGTACCTGATGAATCCTAGAATAGAGATGTCTCTGGAAGTTGGCTTCTGTAAAAATAGCATGTTGGGGATGTACTTTTCTTAGTGTATGCTAATGGCAGCTTGGAGGTTTTTGAAAGAAAGGTGGCAAGTGTGCTCTGGTGATTAGGAATCGAGTTCCTGGTTGTGTTTACCTGTGCACATGTGTGTTCTTTACTGGAGCAGTGACTTCAGTGTACAGTCAGTCCTCATTATTCACAGATTCTGCATCTGTGAACTTGCCTATTTGAGAACACTTGTAACTCCAAAATCACCGTGCGGAGTACCCCCTCAGTCATTGCTGGAACGAGTGTAGTGGCCCAGTGTGCATAGTGCCCGACAAGCGTGTTCCTGGTTGATGCTGAACAGGGGGATGCTCTGGGCTCGTTTCTGCCTCACCCTGAGATGAGCAGAGGATGGAGAGGGCGAGGCAGTGCGGTGCAAAAGCTCCAGCCCTGGGGCCAGTTGGACGGGGTCTGAATTCCAGCTCTGGCATCTCAACTCAGAGATGCTCCAGAACTGGAACTCCCGCGCTGCACTGCCTTGTAAGGTCTCCCTAAGAGAAGTTTCTTGCCTAGAATTCACACTAAAGCCTTTTCAAACGTGACTTATTCCCTTGTGTTCTGAAAGTTTCGTGGGGCAGCCTCAGGTGAGCCACTTAATACTCCTGAGCCTCGTTTTTCCTTTTGTAAAATAAAGAGAATAGAATCCGTCAGCATGAGTTGTCTTGGGATTTCAGATTATAATCTGTGTGTAATAGGTTTGTTTGCCTGGTATACAGCCAGTCAGCACACTGCGACATTGGGGATTACAGCCGAGAGAGAGTTTAATTGTAGGGCAGGCGAATGAGGAGATGAGAAGAAACCTCAAATTCACCTCCCCAAGGAATTTGGGTTTAGGGACTTAAGGGATTTGGAGCGGGCCAAGGTGTGGGGATTGTTTATTGGTAGAAGAGTGCCGGGTGAAGTCATGGGATGGGAAGATGAAGAAACTGCATTTGGCTCCCTGCAGGAAGGTCTTCAAAGTGGTTAGTGTCAGTCGTTCCACCGGAATTCAGGATCCGAAGAACATCTTACGCAATTCTTGAACGAAAGCCTTACGATTCTGACACCAGTGATTCTTTCTGTAGCAATAATGGGGATGCGAGTAGTATCTAGTGCTACGTGACTTTCAGTTACAGCCAGCATGCAGCCTGGTTGCTGCTTAATTGCGTGCCCGGAACCCAGCATGCAGTTGTTGTTAACTCTTTGAGGATGGTTTCCTATTCCATATGTAATAAGGGGATTTCCCCAGGAGCAGTGGTTCTGTATTCGATAATTCATTGTTTGCTGCAACTTTATAGAATGTAACCACCACCAATAACAAATTGACCGTATCTTCCGAGGGAAAAGCCTGACGAGACTGGTTTCCTTGCAGGGCTCCTTCACTGAAGTGGTTTCCATCAGTAACTTGGGAATGGCAAAGACTGGCCCGACGATTGAGGACAGCGGCAGCCTCCTTCTGGAATACGTGAATGGATCGACCTGCACCACCAGCGACGGCAGACAGACCACATACACCACGAGGATCCATCTCGTCTGCTCCAGGGGCAGGCTGGTAAGGCACTGCCGCTGGCCGGTGACCTTCACTGCTGTGTTTTTTGACTGAGCGTTGCCTTGTGTGTCTCTTGACAGAAACGGTCTTGGGGTGGGTGGTGGAGTTAGGCCAGTCTTAGTTCTGCTCAAGGTCAGCCTGCAGTATGTATGTGCACAGGCAGGGAGTGATTTGTGGTACCTTCATGGCTGCGATTTCTGAAGTGTAAGCCTCATCTTTTGCTGCGGAGTTGGAGGCTGTGGTGACAGACACTGTTTCATGGATTTTCTTTCTGAGTCATACAGACATTATCTTGCCTCTTAGTTCTTGTGAGTTGAGGATCGTGGCAGTGGAACGGGGCTTAGAGATAGTTTGGTCCTGTAGGAGCCGAGGGAAAGCTTCCCTTTCACCCTTTGAAGTTTCCCTGAAAATCAGCTGTCAACAGGAGAAAAGACATTAAAATTTTAACGTGCGTAGCACCGGGGAATAAATAGCAGGAGAAAGATGACCCAGTAGCCTAATGCAACACAGAAGATTGTGTACCCTATTTCACAGGGGAGAGGGTGATGGGGGATGCAGACAGTTCTTTTGAGGGGGCAGCAAATGATTATTTGGGAGAAAGAATGGACAGAAATTAACTTGCAAATGATTCTCTTTGGAGCCTGAATGAGGAAGGCATTATCTTGTGAACAAGTCTGTCCAGGTGTGGTTGCTGTCCTCAGTCTTCTTTTGTGGGATAGATAATGAGATTTCCGAGTTTCTTTTGGAAAGAAGCCTTCTTGGTCAGGTAAGGAAATCCCAGAGAAAGTCCCTCGCTGTGCTTGGGGGTGGAGGTAACAAGGCACAGTTAAAAGGACGACCTTGATTCTCAGGCAGCTTCTCAGCATGTCAAAGCACCAGTCCTTGAGGTATTGCGTTCTGAGCCCCAGCAGCCCAAACCACAAAGTCCACAGATAGGAATCTGAGGCTTGATATATCTCAGGCCTATGGGTGAACAATGAGGGTTGTACGTGTAATACAAAACAGGAATAAGAAATTAAGGCTGAAGGCTGGGCACGCTGGTTCAGATCTAATCCAGCACTGTGGAAGGCCAACGTGGGAAGATCACTTGAGGACAGGAATTGGTGACCAGCCTGGACAACATAGTGAGACCCCCATCTCCAAAAAATAAAACAAAATTCAGCCAAGTGTGGTGGCTCATGCCTGTAGTCCCAGCTACTCTGGAGGCAGAGGCCGGAGCACTCCTTGAGCCCAGGAGGTTGAGGATTCAGTGAGCCATGATTGCACTGCAGCCTGGGAGGCAAAGCGAGCCCCTGTCCAAAAAAAAAAAATGGGAGGCAGAGATGGAAGGATTGTTTGAGCCCAGGAGTCTGAGACTAGCCTGGGCAAGCTAGTGAGACCCCATCTCTTCAAAACAAATTTAAAAATTAGCCAAGTGTGGTGGTGTGCACCTGTAGTCCCAGCTACTGGGGAGGCTGAGGTGGGAGGATCACTTGAGCCCAGGAGGCAGAGGTTGCAGTGAGCTGAGGATGTGCTACTACACTGCAGCCCCTTGGCAACAGAGCAAGATCTTGTTTCAAAATAATAATCACATCAGCAACTTCAGCAAAGTCTCAGGTTACAAAGTCAATGTGCAAAATCACAAGCATTCCTGTACACCATTAACAGACAAACAGAGAGCCAAATCATATACCCAAAGGATTATGAATCATGCTACTGTAAAGACACATGCACATGTATGTTTTTTGCGGCAGTATTCACAATAGCAAATACGTGGAAAGAGCCCAAATGTCCATCA